TACGTTGAGGATGAAGACGGGATCCACTTTAGCCGCGCGACTCTTGAAGGAGCTGGCCACCAGGAGCTGTGGCTGATCATCGATGCCCTTCACGAAACCACATCCGGGATTGCACACTCGTCCCATCGTCTTGTAGCACTCGACAAACTGCTTGTGGTTGCAGAGCAGCCTTGTGTGCGGCTTGTTGAAGCGCGTCCTTGGGAAAACGCTTGGTCCTGCTTTCGTTCCTGCCGGGTAGGCAATGAGGTTGGGCCGCCCCTCAATTGGGTGCAGTGTACCATCCAAGCCACCCCAGTCACCTCAGCGTAGCGCTAAACCCAGCTGACATGCATGCAGACAAATCCAGACAACTTCTACTCTGAAGGGGTTGAGGGAGCGAGGTGCAGGCAAGCTTCCGATGGCAAAGACATGGAAAGGACCTGTGCCAGAGACATTCATGTCCTCCCAAGCCATCCCGTTGTAGTCAAGCGCTGTGGCCGGTGGCTTGCACGCGATGCTGTCGGGATCGCTGCATTTGGCTTTGCTCTTCCCCTGGAAGCAGACATCACATGGAGGGTTCGTGCAGGTGCACGGCGGCGACCCACACTGATTGCCTCCGGGAGGTGCGCAAAAGTAGAGCTTTTGCCAGTCGCCGAGGCTGGCTGTGTGGTAATCCACACCGGAAATGGACTGCATGTCAGCAAACCACTGTGGCCCATGTCGGTCGTACTTTCCGCCCCTGTGCGCCCATTCGACCGTCGAACGGCAGATGTTGTTGGAGGGGTGCTGGAGGCTCTCGCACTTCGGAGCGCCGGCAGCTTCCGCTGTTTTCTCCAGGGCCGACACGGCCTCACCTCGCCGCTGCAGTGCGTTCAGCGCACATTGCTCCTCGCCCGCGCACTCGTCGTCGAGGCTTAGCGCTTCCTGGCCGGCGGCCACCGCAATCAGCGCCGCCGCGATCACACGGGCAGCCATGCGGTAAAAGCTATGAACTAGTAGGCTAGTAGAGGAGAGGGCCGATGGCCCACAAAAAGCACTTTTAGCGGATCCGAAGTCCCCCAAGAGACCTGGGCCGAAAGACCAAGTCAGTGCAGCTACGAGTTCTGGGCCTCACATGGAAATTGAAACAAGGCTCTCAAGAGCGCACTCCTGCCCATAACCAAACTGCACTTAAAGGTCCCGGGCAGTGTTTTCTGCTGACAAAAGCACACGCTGCTCCACCTATGAGCACCACTTATGCACACGACAATCTAGTGGTAGCTCTACGCTGTGGAACCACCCATACTAGACACCATGTCCCAATGTATGCAAATCCCTAAACCCTAAACCCGTCCCTCAACCCTAAACCCTAAACCCTAAACCCTACGACAGTGTAACCCGAAAGCTCCAGACCTGACGCAAGGCTTCGCAGCGCTCAGGCGAGTCAGAGCTTCGGTTGCACCGTCGGCATCTTGATCTCGCAGCCATTCCTTGAGGGTTTAGGGCTTACCTTAACCTCAAATAACCTACCCTGTTTTAAGGACTCATATTAAAGAAGTTATCATAAGGAGCCCTTAAAAAGGTAGGTTCCTTGAGGGTCTAGGGTTTAGAAGCTTCGGGGTTAAGGCGCCGGGTTGACGTGTTTTAAACCCTGAGCCCTGAAGGGCCCATACCGGAAGCCCTAGGACCTATAGACCCCAAACCGACAGACCCCAAGGCCCCAATCCCTACCCTGTAAGCTTCTGGTCTCGCTTTGCGCCTCCCTGATCCAGGAAAGTTTGTCAGTTTTGGCTGATCTCTCCAGGCACAAAAAACGCTCAGTATAGGATACCTTCAGTGCTGGTTGAAGATTTATGTGGTACAGCAAGTACAGTACCAACATTATTCTGGTATCTATACAATAATATACTAGTAACTACCACAATATACTACTATCTACAATAATCTAGTATACTATCTACAAATATTCTACTACTATCTACAAAGAACTACTACTATTACAACAAGAGTGAAACTGCATAAATCCTAAGAGCTCGCAAACTTCCAAAGGCTGGCAGGATGGAGGGCCAAGCAATCCAAAACCCCCTCAGTCAGAAATGTCTTAGGCACGTGTACTAGGTTGTTAGGGTTTAGGGCTTTTGGGGTTTAGGGTTTTAGTGCTTTTGGAGTTTAAGGTTTTAGGGCTTTTGGGGTTTAGGGCTCGGAGCCCAAGAGGCCTTCAGCCCAACCCCACAGCATACTCCGAGTTGCAAGCAAGATGGACATGGGTACTTCTCTAAACTAGGGTCCCGTGTAGGGTCCTTTTTATACGGGTGCCGTACTCTATTGGGGGACCTACAAAGAGACCCGAATTTAGACAACTACCCACATGCAGAGAGCCAACTACTCCAGGCTTGTTAACAGGCTGGGTACGATGGGTTCCGGGCTATGGGTATAGGGGCTTAGGGCTTAGGGGTTTAGGGTTTTAGGGTTTAGGGTTTTAGGGTTTAGGGCTTCAGAAATATGGAGTTGAGGGATTCTCTAAGGGGTTTGCGGTCTAAGGCGGCCTAAGCTTTTTTGGTGCCCACAACCATCTGGAAATCACCAAATTCATGTAGGGGTCTTGATAATTAGGGAAATGTGGTTTTGTGGTATATCATACTATGATTATAAAAAGGAACCCCCAAAATAGTGTTGGTAATTATTTAGGCCCCTATAGTAAGGCATGCAAGTCTCCAGCTGAGGGGGATGAGGATCAGCCCGGCTTGCTTTCCGTTTACGCCTTGGGGTACACGGTGCGAGTCATGATCTCATAGCCATTCCTCAGGTATGGTTCCAAGCAGAGCCTCAACACTGCTGCACATGCTCAGCATGACGGAGCCCAG